GAGATCCATTGGGAAGCTTTTAAGCAGGTGAGACTATCATTCCAGACCAAGCACTTGATGAGGCTAGAAAGAAACAGCGTGTCCGAATATGAAGAGCCCGTGGAGCCACCGTTTTCCACATGCAACGACTGAGTGCTGGCCTTAGCTAGGAGATGAGCCAGCAGCCCTGCAGGTCCACTAGGACCGGTGGCGGGGCCAGATTTTGCGTCACCAGTCATAGCCACGTCTTCCATTTCGTCGGCATCCGCATCCGCAGCATCCCCTACAGTGGATTGTGTCTCTTGACCAGTGAACCCATTGAACGTGTAGATTAAACCTGGGAAGAGAGAAACATGCATATGTTCATGGTGAAAGGATTGAAGACCAAGAGACACAAGACACCAGTAAACTGTACTATGAAATACAAGGTCTGTGTAGAGTATTGTAAAGTCAGCAAGGATTGGATATATATATATATATATATGTATAGCAACTTGATATCGTGCGGCAACAGATCAGAAAAGAAACGAATCGAGTTAATCCGAGAAACATTATGTATTTTATTAAGATAATGATGTGAAAAATAGTTACCGATACTGTAAGCCGAGCACCACAACTGCACAATTAAGCTATTCGTCTCACACCGAAACTGATGCATCTGCCTTTCCCCACATGCTGCAATTGCCCCTTAAACCATGGACTGTATTAAACGTTTCTACGGCATGACATTCTGTTTTCATTTGAATATGATCGAAATACACGGACAATGGAATCATTCAAAAACCCGTTCTCATCGACAACGTATCAGGAGCATTAGGGGAGCATTACTTCGCCCTCTGAGATATATCTTTAACAGCTTGTACCTTATGAAATTCAGCAACGGTCGGGCCCAAGAAGAGTTGTGCAGAAGGATCAATTAATGCTGCCATTGTTAGGACGGAGCTTAAGCAACCCGTCCGATCGCGCACGCCTCCGAGTCAGGCCACACGCACGCTCGCAACGCTCCAGACAGGCTGAAACTGATTGGAGGATCACAGAACGTGTCAGCCAATGTTTGTCCGATCGATCAATCGATATGTCTAGGAAGCAATCTGATTGGTGCGTCACTGCGCCGTTCTCGTATGCAGGATTTGCTCTTTTTATTTGCGTACCGATATCTAATCAAGGAATACACACTAAGTGTTGTCTCAAGCTGTGTTCTCTCTCGGTGTTTTCGTGTGGGGTTAAGCAAGAATCGCTCGTGTCATTCGTACGTCTAGTCCGAACAAAACAGCCATTACCACCTTTATCCCCGTGTGTTGCGACTGACTGTCGTGTCGCTGATTACCAAAATGAACAGGGATTTCAAACAGCGATCGGTACGGAATGCGGTGGGTATGCATGCATCGTACATGTACAAACAGTCGGAAGTGGTGATATGTAGTCGTTTGGGTAGACGACAGCGATCCAGGGTGTCGGACCTTGTCACTGACTACATGGTTTTAATTCCAGCCGCGTGGAATGTCTCCGGGACAGCAATGATTGTGGGGTGACCAAAAACAGTGAGGTCAAGTGCTTCGAACTGTGAGAGTATACAATCATACTTCAACAGAGAAGGGGACACCTTCGTGGAGGTGCATGTGTCTTTCGGATGGCCGATATTAATCAAGGTTTTTCTATGTGCAATGGTAGCCCGTCTCTGATACGACCGCCGGCTGTCACTTACTCCCCTCGGTAAGCGACGTCATTATCTACATATTCAACTGCGTGCGAGCATTAGTGATCGCAGGAAAAACCATGGACCTAATTATTTAGAAGAACTTTCCAATTGAACAAAGTGCACCGACCGAAAACCATGGAAACCAGTCGCATGTGTTTCTAAACTAAGTGACTGCTACTGACGCCAACCTTACTGGACAAAGTTTTGCAAAAAGGACACTTCAATAGTTGGCGTATTAGCGAAACGAAAGTCAAAAAACTTAGTTGACCAAAACTGGGACCTAAGCATTGGAATTCTTAAAAAGCACGAAAGAGCGATTGTAAATAAACCGGATTGTTTCCCAATTAAAAGAGCAAATTTGCTGCAGTGGAGTAGATACGCCAGTACGAATGCTCATTTGAAAATCGGGTAAACAAAAGACAGATGAATGAGTTGGTGCAATTTGTAAAAGTTTACGTTCATTGATCGTAACATACATATATATACAGTCACATTCACATACTTCTACTCAGGAGATGTATTTTCGTCACAATAACCTCATTTATAACACTGGATTATTTTGGATGAATGGATGAATCAACCGAAAAAAAGATTACCGGATGCACGCCTGATGAGTGGCAAGAACCGCGAAACCGGTCGTGTGCTTTCAGGTGAATTTTGTCTAGTCATTTGTATATTACTTATCATGAAATATTCAAGTATCCAACCCATGTACAAAACATCTCAGACCAACAATTGTCATTATCCCTTTGACGCCAACCTGGAAGGTGGGTTGCACCAGCCGAAGCCAAAGCTGAAGCCAGCTACTACACCATATCATGTGGTCTGACTGCCGTGATTTCTCTGTCAAGCTTGCCCAGCAGGTGCAAAAAGAGCACGATGGGTAGGCATATGCAAAACATGACCAAGGCATCGGCGGTGGTGTAGAGCGATTCCTTCTTTCAGAGAACGACTATCAACGCCCAACACACAACGACAAACCTCGTCATTACTCACCAGATGTCTATACCAGATAGGAGCAACGCTTCGCAAACATCAGTGGTCGAATAAAGAAAGTCAATTAGCATTCAGATTCAGATCTTATAACCATCAACCATGTACTTGCGTGCGCCGGTTTTACTTGTTATCTTTTGGCTGCCCATTTGGATAAAAGAGCAGAATGAAGATTGGAATGTTGAGAGGAAACTCAAGGGGAATATAGAGAAAGCATATAGACTTTGGTTACGAGAATATTGAAAAG